AACATCATGATAAACAGAGAAAAGATTGAAGTTGTCAAGGATTTCATTTTACTTGGATCCACAATCAACACCCATGGAAGCAGCATTCAAGAAATCAAACAACTCATTGCATTGGGAAAATCTACTGTAAAAGACCTCTTTAAAATGTTGTAAAGCAAAGATGTCACCTTGAAGACTAAGGTGCGCCTGACCCAAGCCATGGTGTTTTCAATAGCCTCATATGCATGCGAAAGCTGGACAATGAATAAGGAAGACCAAAGAAGAACTGAAGCCTTTGAATTATGGTGTTGGAGAAGAATGTTGAATATACCACGGACTGCCCAAAGAACAAACAAATCTGTCTTGGAAGAAGTATAGCCAGAATGCTCCTGAGAAGCAAGGATGGTGAGACTATGTCTCACATACTTTGGACATAGTATCAAGAGGAATCAGTCCCTGGAGAAGGACATCACGCTTGGTAAAGTAGAGGGTCAGTGAGAAAGAGGAAGACCCTCAAAGAGGTAGATTGACGCAGTGGCTGCAACAATGGGCTCAAGCATAACAATAATTGTGAAAACAGTGTAGGACAGGGCAGTGTTTCATTCTGTTGTCCATAGGGTCTCTATGGTTCAGAACTGACTCGATGGCACCTAACAACAACAACAACGTTTAGAGAATTAATTCTCTTTTCTAAAGATAACTTTTTATTATTAAACACCTCAAAATAAGGATTAAATTGGCCAAAAATTAATTAGAAATTAAAGAAAATAAAAACCCAGGCAAATAAATTCTCCATACTGAAAAATGTATAAAAATGCTCAGAGATGCCTTAAAGTTTGGGAACTACTTCAGATACACAAAAATTAACAATTTTTTAATAATTCAGGGACTAACATATGCCAGAAATTTTTAATATAATTATTGATTATACCTTTCATGGTTTTTAATCATTAAGATAATGCATGTTGATTAAACATTCAAACAACATGAGGGTATGTAAAATGGGAAATGACATCGGCCCAATATTCTAAATCCTCAGAAGCAGCCCTCAGTTCAAAGTCTTCCAGTCATCTCTGCCTTTATCAAAATACACATATGAATTATTTAAAAGAAATGTGTGACCATGCCACATGGACCTTTTCATGTCAGGTGAATAGATTTGCATTACTCTTTTTAAAGCCTAGCAAAAATTTATTACATGAGCAAAGCAAAATTTAGCTACATAGTCTCCTATTTATTGACTTTTAGGATGTTATATTTTTTGATGGTTCAACTAAATTTGTAATACGTGTGTGTGTGTGTGTGTGTTGTGTGTGTTTATATATATATATCCTTGTACATTTATATTAATGTTCTTGTGAATTTATCAGTGTAGGATTTTTATTCCTACAAGTAGAATTTCTGGGTCAAAGGGTATGCATCTTACAATTTTGATAACTATTCCAATTTTCCCTCCATAAAAGTTATAATAATTTACCCTAAACAGTGTATGATTAGCAATTTGTTGACAGCTTTGCCACCCTGGGTATTCTAGCATTTGGATAGGTGAAATCAGAATATGAAAAAGTACAACCTCCCCACTGCTAGGTGAACTCTCCAGCCCTGCTTCAAAGTAATTTGTGATTTTACTAGGTCCCCCTATACTTAACAGATTGTTTAGGGAAAATCTCAAAAGTAATGTAAAAAGTCTCATAACTGTATGTTTGGTTTAAAAATACACTTAAATAAGGTTAGAAATTCATGAAAATTCATATTGTTGTAGATACTACAATAGGCCATTTTTCAGCTGACCCAAGTGGAGTGTTTTCAGTTTGCCTATTGATATCAGTTGTGTTTGCATGCAATGTCAATCATAGAGGCTTGGCTTTAATTTTGAATTATATTAGGTTACTGCTTCTGTTTTTTTGGTTCTTACGTCATGAAATATGATTACAGGGCAAGAAGGCAGTGATGAAGTTCAGAAGCTCCATGGAAAATTCACAGGGAACAAATCTATATCAACTTCCGAATATTAACAATTACATGATGCCTATTCGTCCTCCACCTCCTCCCCCAGATGGAAAATTCACAAGGGAGAATAGAGCTGAAACATGGAGAAGGAGAAGATTTCGTCCAACCACTGCTCCAGATGGCTTAGAACCTCTCTTTACCAGGGTGATTATGGAATCAATGTTTTCTTTTATTAAGTTATCAGAGACTACATTTCATTATTAGATTTCTAGAGATACAGTAAAGTAATTTGGGGAAATCACATGCAAAATGCCTTGTTTAAAAAAAATATAATAGTTAATAGTTTCATAAATGTAATTGTAAACTTTAGTGGATCTGAAACCAAGGATTTGAGTACTTCAGTTGAGTAATTTAACGCATCCAATAATAAAAGATTTAGTAGATCTTATAGCCAAATTTAGTTTGAACTATACCAATTCACAAATCATCTATTTCCTTTAGTTTTCCCATTCAATCACATGTTGTCTTAACATTTAAAACAACATAAAATACCTTATTGAAGTTTATTTTTAATAATGTACAGCAAATAAGTATGTAATACTTAGGGAAAATTTCTTTCAATATTCTTTGAAAGTATTGTATTTTGTTCAACTCGGTTTGTCAGAATACTAGTAAAGAAAATAATTCTAAGGCCAGTTAGTCTTCGTACAGGTACAGGCTGTATATTTTCATACAGATATGGGCAAGTAAGAAGGCAAAAGTTCTCTTAATTTTTATTAAAACCAATAGTAATTGTATGTAACTTTTGTTATTATTACAAGATAGCTGGGTCAGCATGTCCCTGATTGAGAATCAGGGAGTAATGGACCAACATTTGTGAAGACTATGCATGCTGGCTTTACAAAACTGACCTCACTCTCCAGTGCCCCAAACAGCCATGTCCACATCTCACTCCCAGCAGCTCTAACTTTCTCAAAAGATTGGGACTATCATCTTTGTGCTTGTTCAAGTTTCCTCTGTTTCAACTCTATTTTCATCATTTCTCTCTTCCTTTGTTACTGTCTCTGAAAAAGCCTTGGATCTCTCATCTCTGAGACTCACCTTCACGCTGTGTTCTTGATCTTATCTTCTTCCACTGTCAGTGGCACCATGCACTGTCAGTCATTCTCCTCTCCATTTTGGATTTTCATTCTTTCTCTAACATACCCTCTCAAAATACTCTCTCTGCCTCTCAATATACGCACGCCTTACATAGAGTAACCAACTACTTTCCTCACGTGCTATAGCCTTAGATTTTTGTCTTCTCCTTTCCTGTACTGCAAAGTTCTCTGAGGAGCAGTTTGTTATAGTTCAGTCTAACAGACAACCTCAAGCAACCCAGCTTACTAACAAATGTTTATTTCTTGCTCACACCAACACCTGTTGTTGGCCAGCTGCAATTCTGGGACCTAGATTGAAGAACAGCCCCTGTCTGGGGTGTATAGGCCTCACAGGCAACAAAACCATGGAATGGCTTTTAAAGCTTCCACTCAGGAATGGCACTGTCATTTCTGCTCGGCCTGACAGCCATGGAGTGGAATGTATAATCCTCTCACAGAGAGGGGTGGTGAATATATGAAACAACAATAGAATCTACCACACACATTAACTTATTTTTGAGCTCTTTCCATGCTGGCATTGGTCTCGACCAGACAATGAAATACTCTCTTGAGGGTCATGGTTGCCAATTAGTGAAAACAGTGACTTCCTCATCATCCTCAAACACTTGGTGGAAGCATTTGATATTCTGATGTTAAATACACTACTGGAATAAACTTTATCTGGTCACACTTTAAAAAAAAATTAAATGTCTCATAAACCAGAAGAATGTATATGTATAGTTTAAACAACAGTAACAGAGCAGACACCCATGTACATACCACTATGTCTTAACTAGGTAGAATGTTACTACCATATTCAAAGCCATCTATTTCCTGGCCCGACACATCCTCTCACTCCTTCCTTTGAGCAACAACCATACTGATTTCTGTGTTAACTATGTCCCTGCTTCTCTTTAGAGTCCAGTCACTTATATGTATAAAAATTTCAGAAACAAGCTCAAATCTAAGACTGTAATGAAACGATAGTATTTCTAGGACAAAATAAGGCAAATGGAATCTTTGGATCAGAGTCTGGGTTCAGCTTCCTTGACAGTTTTAAGAGCCCCTTTTGGGGAAGTCAGAGAGGCATGGTGGTGAGTGTGTCCTAGGAAACTTGGAGCTCACCAAAATCAGAGATCCTGGTGTGGGCCAGATCCTGAATGTCCAGCAGGAACATGTTGAGGGGAGTGGGATTCTGACCTTGGGCATGGAGAAGAGAGCAGCAATTTCTCCATCTTATGGTCCTGACAAGTAAAGTAGAATTAAGAGTATAGCCAGACTCCCTGGGCATTGTGTCATCAAGTTAGAAACACAGTGTGGTGTCCACAGGCATCCTGGTTTGGACAGATCTCTTGCTTCAGTGGGTTCCAGTCTGACCTGGTGTTTTTTTTTAAATCTCTATTCTCTCTTTTTGGAACCCTTATTTGGGGGATGTTGAACTACTAGAATGATTCTCTAATCATCTTAGATTTCCTGTTCTATTTTATACTTCTTTGTTTTTTTGTTTACATTATGAAAAATTTCTACAATTTTATCTTTCACAGCTTCTGAAGTTTTTTTCTTGAGCCACCTTGTTTTAATTCTAAAAACTCCTTTTATGTTCACTGAATGTTACTTTTAAAAGCATCTTATTTTTGTTCTGTATGATTTTGATTCTTAGATATTTGTAGAGACTTGGTTTATGGGCTAATATATGGTCAGTTTTGGAATGAATGTGATTTTCTAAATGATAGGTACCAGATTCTATAAATGTCCAATAGCTAATAATTATGTTGCTCAAATTTATTTATCCTTAAAATTTTTTTTATCTGCTTGGACTCTCAGTTTCTGAGTTATAAAGAAAAATCATTCTCCATGATTATGAATTTATAATTATCTCCTTGTAATTATGTCAGGTTCTTTTTATAAATGTTGAGAATATCTTGTTATATCCTCACAGGTTTAGGATTACACTATTTTACTGGTGAAGTGTTCTTTTGTTATCAAAAAATGATTCTCTTTATCACTTACTACTTTTTTGCCTTACACTTATTTTGTTAATAGTACTTTATATTTTCTTTTGATTAGTATTTAACTGGTATGTGCGTCTTAAATGTTTTAAACACACACACACATGCACACATATATGTAATCCTTTACTTTCAGCCTTTTTATGGCTTTAGGTTTAGGCTTTAAATGTGTCTAGGCAGCATTTGGATAGTTATGGTTATGTTTAATTCAATCTTAGAATCTCTGTTCCTTTAATAACTGACTTTAGCCCAATTATATTTATTTTGTAAAGGGATATATTAGGCTTACTTCCACTATGTTAGTTTGTATTTTCTATTTCTCATGCTTTTTCTTTATAGTAGTATTTTATACTATTTATTGCCACTTCCTTGAAACTTTCGTCTCTTGGTTTCCATGACCCTCTACCCTTATGGTTCTTTACTATCTCCTTTTACCTCTTATCCTGCTCCTTTGTGGCTCTGCTTGGTCTTTAGCCCCTAAATCTAGCTATCGCAAAAGGCTTGAATTTTGACACTTGTTTTTCTATTCAAGATGTAGTTATCTTCTCATATGACTTTAATAGCCTGATAAATATCTCTTGAATTTGTCTCTACCTCCTGGGTCCTGGAGTACAGAGTAAAATTAGCTCAGTGGGAAGAGTCGTACACTTTTGCTTTAGTACTTAGGCTTATTTTGTTTATTGTATTTTCACTGAAATAATAAGCACCTTCTACATTTGTTTGCCAATTGCACCCTCCCCCACCCAAGGTATTTTCCTAAGTGCCTCCATGCCAATCCTCTTCCACATGTTGCTATTTAAAAAAAAAAAAAAAAATTAGCATAGTGCACTTAGGAAAATGCCTCCTGGGGGCGGGGAGGACATGGTTGGAAAACAAATGTAGAAGACACGCATTAATTTGTGCAAAAATACGTAATTCTAGAGAAGATTCATTTAAGGAGAGATGAGACTTATGACTAATTTACACATTAAATTCACTTTTTCATTTTATGATTACCACCCCCAAAGCATCCTTCAAATATTCTTAAAAGGAAAGTAAGAGGTAAAAGGCAAAAAAATAGTATGGCATCCTTGTGGCCCACCACCTGTTCCTCTGCGAATGTATAGAGCAACAGGATCCCTGGCTTCTGTGATCCCCATCTCTAGGGAACGATCAGTGGGACCAAATGACAAGGCGTGGTGGCACACACAGTCCAGCGAGTTGCCTCTGTGCCCCGTCGATTTGTCCCATTTTGATCCAGAAGCTGCAGAGTTTTATGCTGTTTTTACAGAACCCATGAGATTAATTAGATTTTGCACTGAGGTTTGTCTCGCTCACCTCCAGATTTTTGGGTTCCCACTTAGGATTGAGTTGATCTGATCTTGATGATCTCTCATGATACAGAGCAGCCTACTAAAAATGTGGATGGTCTCCAAAACAGATTCTGTAAATGTGAAAATACAGGCTTTCAAATAAGAACATACTTTACCATTATGTTTATCAACTAAAAAATGTTTGTTTTAATTTCTTGTTTGTTTTGTGAAAGAGAGGGCAAAATGGCTGAGCCAGCTTCTCAAGTGCCATATTTCTCTTAAAGCATGACTTTTTTTTCTAGTTATCTGGGCTCAAAATCTAGGATTCTTTCTTTTCTCTGTATCACAAAAACAAAAACAAAACAAAACAGTTTCTGTTGAGTTGATGGGGATTCATGGTGACGCCACATTTGTCAGAGTAGAACTGTGCTCTATAGGGATTTCAGTGGCTGATTTCTCAGAAGTAGATCACCAGGTTTTTCTTCCAAGATGCCTCTGAGTGGACTTGAACCACCAACCTTTCTAACTGTTGACACCACCCTGTAACTCCCTCTTATTTACACATCTAGTTAATTTCTAAGTCCTCTAGATGAGCGCTGTCCAATAAAAATATAATGCACGCCACATATACATTTTTTGTTTTCTAACTTAAAATGGTAAAAGGAAACAGGAGAAACTAATTTTAATAATATATTTAACCAAATATATCCAAAATATTGTCATTTCAACGTGTAATTAATATAAAATTATTTAATGAGATATTT